AATAGGAAGTCCACTTGCACTAGTCTAAGTCAATTATTTCAGTACATCCTACTGTTAATGTAAGGGTGAACATCTAGCAACATTTAGGCACTGTTTGCAGGCAAACGTGGTTTTTTAAGCGTAGCAACACTTGTGACAAACTTTAATATTGACTTTATATATCGCGTTCAACCGCATCGAACACAAAGGGTCCAAATTATACCAAAATCGCAAACACCGCCCCCGCGGGGAGGTCGACGACCCATATCGCAAGCTACGGTAATCGATGGGAGCTGATCGACCCGGTAAAATATCGACAATCGAGAGCCATTACTGGCCATAAGTCAGGTGGTAATTTGCCAAGTCCACACCTCGATGTGTTAGTTATCGCAGACACGGGAACCGACTTTCAGCTGATTTAGCCGCGATGTTTTAGAACCAAATTACACGATTGCCTTCCTCGGTTTCGTCACAGCCCCTTTGTGAGACGGTTGGAGTAAGTTTATTTTAGAGTTTTAGAAACAAGAATATTTTGATAAAGGAAAAATGATAAAAGAAGTTTTGTGTCCCTAGAAAAATAAAGACGAGTTTACTTAAGTCGTGCTTTTGTAGTTTTCTAAAACCCTATTTGAAAGTTTAAAATCAATACTAGTATGATTGCTGCTTCTTTTAGGAATTTGCGAGACGAAATTCTTACCCTTAGGACGATGATACCAATATAGTTGCATAAGTATACGATGAAAACTGATTTTATGCTCATAAATATGTTATGTGTGTATTTGAGAGAAATTACCAGGAATTAGTCATAACGTTGACTGCTAACCTTATAGGCAAGTTATCCGAAGAAGACATTATTAGTATCACAAAAAAAGAAACAAGTACAACTAAGCATCAGTAAAGCTCAGCCCTATAGATCGGAGGGCAGTAGGATTACAACCCTCGATCACCTGTAACGGTGCCTTCACCCCTTCAGACCATGTTAAGGCAACATTCCAACGCAAATCCGACACCAACCCTTAACCCCTTCAGCTCAATAAAACAATCCCCTAGGCAACGTGATACAAGTTTTTTAACCCTTCAAAAACGCCGAAGTTTTTTGCTCCGTCGGGGGCGGTGGCCTACTTCTCGCGGCGTATTCGATATCATTCACGATAAAAGAATAAAATTAACCCTAACTCAGGCTATCGAGGAATTCAAAATTTGAATGAGAAAAGATTACATTCTTTTGTAATTTAGAATCAAACGTATAAACACTATTCCTTTTCTTCTTTCGCTTGACTTGGGGCTTTGAAGTAATCTTGGAGATTTTGAAACTAGATATCATGGGTACTAAGCATATCTATACTTATTTAATACGCAAGCACGATTTTTGTGACAATTACTCCTCCGAAACTACTGAACCGATTGACACGTTTTTGTTGTCATTGGAAAGAGCGTAACTTGAAGTTGTGCAGGAAACTTTCTTTTTAGGTAAATAATTAGAGAGTGAGGCCCTAGGGCCCTTTAAAGTTTCGTATTCCTCCATAAGATTAACATGGGAAACAAACATTGTTTTGAAACTCCAGCTGTTGTCAGAAATTAAATATTAAATTATTCGTTTCCATGGAAGCATGAGAAAATTCACAATGTTTACATTTGCTTTGACATTTTATTGTAAACAACCAGAACTGTCAAATTTCTACTTCACAAATTCCGACAGCTGATCCAAAAAAACGTATTTTCCTTTGACCATGTAAAACAACTATTTTTTAATCTTAAACTTTTGGATAGATTATTTATTATAAATCTATTTCAATGATTATGAAACAGATTTTTCCCGTTGCGAAGCAAAAATTAATAGTGAGAAGAAGAGCATATGTAAAACAGTCAATGTGTAAATTATCTATGTTGTATTAAAAATGTGTTTAGTTTTGGATGTTGGTTTGTGTTGAATGATATCGGTTATTAGTTATTGCATTTTTATTCTAAGGATTTGGCATATGAGTAAGCCTATGATAAATAACACCATTTCAGAGTTCTGCCAGTTTTTGCCTAACTCTATCCTGTAGAGTTTAAAGTAGCCTACACCTTATTGTCTACATATTGGCTAAACAACTTAGGTACGGTACTTTATAAAAGCTGACAGCCTTTTTACGTTAACTTAATGTAAGCTTACCTTTTCCCGTACATGGGAAGATTGATTGTTAAAAATTAACCCTTTAAACTGGAATAGGACTGTCATGTAAATAGTGAGTATTTCCTTTAGTTAATAATCTTATAGTTGACTCTTTTAAAATCATCAGAAATTATGACTGTTATTAGTTTTTAAACAAGTTATTTGTTTATAAATAACTCCTGTACTTCTTTGCAATTGCTCGATTTCGAGCAACATGTACACTAGTATGATTTATTTTGCTTGTTTTCAAGGAATTCAAATACAATATGACAAATTCAAGGGTTGTGAATGCAGACGCCTCGGTCACTTATCCAACACAGTGCTACATCCAATCCATATAGCAATGAAACAAATATTTAGGCGTTTCCAAGATTCAGGAATTGTAATTGTAGGGCTAAATCTTGTATTGGAATTCCGTAAGCGTATACAACTTCAGATCATATATTGCAAATATTTTCCCTTATAAGTTTGCTTTGAAATTTATGGATCAGACATCGATATCGAAACAAACTACTTTTGTCACTGAATAATCGTTTCACTCTCAGTTTTCATTTGTATACTTTACGCTCAAGGTGTTAAATAGAGTAAAATTTCCCCAGAAAATTAATAAAACTCTAGTATTTGATGTTATTGGTAGTGCAGAGCTGTAAAGTTCTCAATAGTCATGCTTGGTAGTTCAATGTTTACAAACAATCCAAAATTAAATAAATACCTGTGCCGCAGCAAACCTTCAGACTAAGTGAATTTCCATTTCCTAATTGGGTTTTACTTAAATATCACCATTAAATTGTCATATTTATTCCCTAGGCCTATTAAAATAACTAGTTTAATGAGTACTTAGGTTTGCTGCTACAGGGAAGGTAACAAAGTGGTTTTATAGTTGAATAATAATAGTACAGAATAAAATAAATAAATTTTCAAAATTTTATCAAAAGTATCCATAAACAAGCAAACTACAACCGTTTATAAATTCTCCATAATTTACAGTTTTTTTTTTTAAATTTTCGCCTTTGTTTTTGAATCTCTACAAAATGGTTTGAAAAGATTGTATGTTTCAGAGTCAAACATGGGAAAACCCATTTTTACCTTCTAAATCCCCCCTTATAAACCTTGTTCCCTTATTAGTCCAATCATGCCGGTTCATGAACTCGTTCGAAAAAAAAGTAGGTTTACACGTTTATACCAAATTTAATCAAATTGGATCATTTTTGGTCGAGTTATCGTGATAACGTACACATATATAAACTATAAATATAAATTGGTCCTGGGACCAGGTCCTACCTAGAGACCTACGGTAATAGCTTATTACCTGTATGGGAAATTCACTAAAATGCAAATGGTCCACTTAAAATGTTACATTAAAAACATGGTAACTTTATAACATGACTGACACTCTTTCTAGGGCGTAAGTTACGTTGCCAGCTTCATTGGCCTGGAGATGAAAAGGAGGAATTGCCACTGGAGGCTGAAGAAAAAGGTGGATAAATGCTGAAGTAGTTTAAAACAAATCAAATGATTTATTGGTGTGAGCTGAGGAAGACTATGCAGAAAGTTGGAAGGTCAAAAGATTGGGAAGAACATTGGCAAGTACTTTTACTAAAGTATTGTAGGCAGATTAAAAAGCAAGCAAACCAGCTAGGAGGAGTCAAGCATTTACCTTCACTACCCGAGGCAGGAGCTTAACTCTCTGAGAATCTCATGTGTGTCTTAAGTTTTATAATTATTTATTGCCCGCACAAAATCTGCTGATCCTAGAAATAAAACTATGGGGTTTTAATGTCATTACTTAAATGTTTTTGATTTGTATATGTTTAAATTCTGACGTCTTCATCTCACCACTTATTCCTCTACGTCACACTCGCACACTTTGCTTCTCAAACTCATCACGCAGCCGGTGACGTAATGTTCGCACCTTTGCCCCTCGAGGCTCGACTATCATCGCAGATAGCCATATTAATTCAGTTATTCATCTCCGCGCTATATCGCACCTAATGAATCGCGCAGCTGCTAGAAGCGCTCTATAATCAGCTGGCGAGTGTGAAGTGTGAAGTGTGAGCCAGATAGGATCATTACACAGGCCATGCCTCACCCGAGACAACAAGATTTGGGAAGCGAGCGAGTGTTTATTTATTGGGCGAGGGCGCCTATTACCGCTCGGGCGCTCACCGCTGGCAAAGTGTCGGTCCAGTCACAGTATGCTTATGTGAGATGACAGTGAGGGCCGTTCAGAAAGTCTTTTGAATTTGTTTACTTTCAAATTCAAATAGATGTATCAATAATGTAATATAAGCATGACCTATGTAAGATTATAAAAGATGTTGGAGAGGTCCAATTGACAGTAATACGGTTGTTATTTTTATTTATACGAAATTACACATTTTCCTGGTTTCAAGATGCAGTTACTTATTCAACAGAACGTTTGACAGGCAAGTTTGCATCTCATTCTGTGTATATATTACAAAGTTATTGTAACAGTTATACTGTATACTAAATGATTAATCCATGACAAATCATTTTAATATACTACAATTATAAAAATGCTAATCGAGTAAAATACGTGAAGGGTTTTTTCTTTCGTGAAATGATTTATTTAATTCCTGTGAGAATTAGACGTAGGCCCGCTGAGTGGAGCGGCAGCCGACACCGTCAGTGAGATGAAGAGATTGCCAAAGAGTCATCATTGAGTAGAAAACTTTACCGCTTATCAGATAGTTTGGACGAGATGATCCACACATTCGTATTATGCATATTTTGCGCAGCATGTAGGTAACTGGTAGCACTGGTACTGTACTGGTCAAAGGTGCCTGTTGGCTGGTAGCTGGTTTTCGGATGCTGGTAGGTGGGAGGTGGCCTGGTACTGTACTGGTCAATGGTGCCTGTTGGCTGGTAGCTGGTAGCTGGTAGTCGGATGCTGGTAGGTGGGAGGTGGCCTGGTACTGTACCGGTCAATGTTGCCTGATGGCTGGTAGCTGGTAGTCGGATGCTGGTAGGTGGGAGGTGGCCGGGTATAATTAGACGTAGGCCCGCTGAGTGGAGCGGCGGCCGACACCGTCAGTGAGATGGTACTGTACTGGTCAATGGTGCCTGTTGGCTGGTAGCTGGTAGTCGGATGCTGGTAGGTGGGAGGTGGCCGGGTACTGTACTGGTCAATGGTGCCTGTTGGCTGGTAGCTGGTAGCTGGATGCTGGTAGGTGGGAGGTGGCCTGGTATAATTAGACGTAGGCCCGCTGAGTGGAGCGGCGGCCGACACCGTCAGTGAGATGGTACTGTACTGGTCAATGGTGCCTGTTGGCTGGTAGCTGGTAGCTGGTAGTCGGATGCTGGTAGGTGGGAGGTGGCCGGGTATAATTAGACGTAGGCCCGCTGAGTGGAGCGGCGGCCGACACCGTCAGTGAGATGGTACTGTACTGGTCAATGGTGCCTGTTGGCTGGTAGCTGGTAGTCGGATGCTGGTAGGTCGGGTATAATTAGACGTAGGCCCGCTGAGTGGAGCGGCGGCCGACACCGTCAGTGAGATGGTACTGTACTGGTCAATGGTGCCTGTTGGCTGGTAGCTGGTAGGTGGGAGGTGGCCTGGTATAATTAGACGTAGGCCCGCTGAGTGGAGCGGCGGCCGACACCGTCAGTGAGATGGTACTGTACTGGTCAATGGTGCCTGTTAGCTGGTAGCTGGTAGTCGGATGCTGGTAGGTGGGAGGTGGCCTGGTATAGTACTGGTCAATGGTGCCTGTTGGCTGGTAGCTGGTAGTCGGATGCTGGTAGGTGGGAGGTGGCCTGGTACTGTACTGGTCAATGGTGCCTGTTGGCTGGTAGCTGGTAGTCGGATGCTGGTAGGTCGGGTATAATTAGACGTAGGCCCGCTGAGTGGAGCGGCGGCCGACACCGTCAGTGAGATGAAGAGATTGCCAAAGAGGCAGCATTGTTTGCCAAGAGCTCTTGAGAGGTTTCATAATTACTCAAGACATTCCGGCGAGCTACAGCTACTGGAGACCCTCTGGCCTACATCACGTGTGGTCTTGTGTCTCACCCTGTAAATGTTTAGTGTTTGCATCTGTTGTTGATACTGCAAGTAGACTTTTCATATTACTGTGAAAACTTAGGTTATTTGACGTTTTTTTAACGGCTGTGGTAAAGTTTGAGTACACAGATATCGTATAAGAGCTCTTCACCCTTTAGGAGTAAATTTAATTCAAGGGGTTTTAAATTAGATGACCATAGTAAAATGATTATATATGTAAGTGTGTTTTACCCTTTGGGCAAGTACTAGTTTATACAGATATAGTTTAATTAAGTTAATAATTTTTGCTAAAGGGAAAACGATCAATAAATCATAGACATTAAAATTCTACCTATATAGGCTACTATTTATATCGGGCAGAATCGTATCATAAATCTGTTTTCAACTGGTCTACACTTCATGAGGGAGTTTACTAACTCGATTTTTACAAAGGTAGATTTAAACTTGAACTACACATTTTGTACACTCATTACTCTACTAATGTCTAAAATACTTATGTTAGTTGAAAATGCAAACACGAAAACCCCTATAAGTAGACACAGACGTGTTTCGACGCTTTTGGCCGTTTGATAATGCATTTTCCGGCGGTTCAGATTCCACCTTGAGCTGCACCGATTTAGAAAACAAAGAAAAGCCCGATCTTTCAGACGACGAGGACTTCTATGCATTTAAGAAAGCCCAGCACAAAAATCCGTATGGTTCGAGTGTAATAATCATAGAGGAAAGATTAGGCATGTTCGGACTCTTTAATACAGACCAACCGCTCGCGTCAAAGTAATACCATGACGTAAAACAAGAACTCCATTGAACCTCGAGTACAAGCGGCTCAGGCAAGATCGTGGTCTAAGACAAAGACTCATTGATGGCATCCGCCGAATCACGAAGACTGAAGAGAAAGGCGAGGATGAAGAGGATATGTGATCTCTTTTGATGTTCTGCGAACCCAGTCTCAGATTGAGCTGAAGGCTACTTACCAGCAAATAAGACGAAATATTATCAACTGTGGGGTTTTATTCAAAATGTAGTGTATTAATGTGGCTCGATGATATTATGAGATGTATATTTATGAGATGAGTCTATAGCTGGTATTTAAATTTAACCAATTCCTTAATAATTCCTTAAGTTAACCAATCCTTAATACTACACCTCCACAGGATTGTGACTACAATAGAATAGCCACACCTAACTTCCATAAACAAATGAGTACTGTATTTGGTATTGATACTCAGCAGTGGCATATTAGAAGGAGGATAATATTTTATTTGTTGACATGGCTGAATTTGTACTGTATTACATATATGGCAAGTAGTGAAATAGAAGATTGTGTGTATTTAAATCTAGAAATCATTTCTCATGTTGAGCAAACACTGTTAACTTCCTCATTGATTTATGTCAAGTTATTATAATAAAAATCTCTGGATGAAAAATAGATAAAAAAGAATGGTATATTTCATCACAAGGGCGTAAAGTGAGCCTTTTTGACCCAAGATCGAGTTTTACGAGGCGAAGTGGAGGTCGAAGAATGAGCCAGGGTTGAAAAGACACTTTCTGCCCATGCGATGAACTATATTTTCGTCATATTGCACAATTATTTGAACAAACCATGTTACAAAACAGAAATAGTTTTAATTTAAAAATAACCTTTCGCAACTACTTCTAACTTGTTTTCAAATTAATTTGCTAATGCAAACAAGCAGCTTTTTCAATGCCACTTAAGATCCACAACAAATGCATTCAAACGGCTGTTTTTGGTTTTACCTGCAGTATGACGAAAAACTATTTAACTAGTATAGTATCTGGCGTACATTTTTTACTGTTTGCTATAACTTCTTGTCACTTAAAAAACTCCGAAACTAATTTACCAAATAAAACTATAACATTGTGTAACTATTGCTTTTCACTTGATAGTAATCAATTGTAAAACATATGCCAAATGCACTCAAACAAGACAGTACATTTTAATCGTCATCAAAGCTCGCTGAAACATTAGCCATAATTGATACGGATTTAACAATAATAAGGATTTGGCATTAGGCTATCAATTAATGATGATATCACTCTGACAAAAGGTTGACGTTATTAAGTAAAAGACCTTGGGTAAAAACCAATGCTGTTAAATTATAAAAATCATACTTGCTGTATCTAAAGTGAATGCTATAACGTTTCTCAAACAACCTTGGCAGGAACGAAGCAACGATCTAGTCAAATTCCGACACATATCAACAGCAGCGCCACCTACGAGCTGCAATTATAATTTATACCAATCTCGCCGACCAGCTTTCGTCGGGTTTTTGGGATCCTCAAAAATGACCCGCAGCTTCAAAGTGCCGCCGCTTAGCCTGAACAGTTTCCGTCGATTCAGATTGTTTTCAAACTCGGTGGCATGTTCGCAAGCGCAATAATCGTTTGAAAGCGTTTTAATTTTCTGTTATTCCTTCTGATTTGAGCCGGCTTCGGTCTGGCCTGTCGCCGGGGGGTCTGAGGTTTACTCTTCTAGCTTCAGTTGTATTCTCTTAACTCTTCAGGAAAATTGAATTCAGTTGTAGTAGACTCATTGAGCACATAAGATGAAGCAATTTTTTGAACACCCTGGAACCACCTGTTCATATATGTAATTTTAGTAAGTGTAAAAATTGGAAATGTCATTGAAACCATTATGTGTGTTTCTGTTTCAATAGTTATCATTGTTTGCAAATTAATTTTTGTTCACAAAACTGCCAAGTTATCAAATAGCTCCATTATACAGATATTTTGCAGATAAATACGACATGGATTGATTTCGTAAGGGTTTGGAGGAGGATAAAATATTATATATCACTCTGATCTTAGTCAGTAACAAAGCTGCAAAGATCTGCCCACTCTATTCTACACTCATCCTGCACTCATATTTGGGTTTAAATACACAGGTGGCGTCCCCATCTTAATGATTGAACGTCAATTGAAAATCTATATTTATAAAAGTGGAAGTTTGTATATATATTTGAACGTTATGGACTCCGAAACCGCTCGACAAATTGTAATGAAACTTTCAGGCATTATTAAGCATTATTCAAGGATGGTTTGTGTGAAGTTTGGTGCAGATCCGTCAAAAGGGCTCCGCCCCAGTGGCTCTGGAGTTTCCCATGTGAACCTTATAGAATCTTAACAGCTGTTTCAACTAAACAATTTGATTCTGTGATGATCAACAGCATTAAAAGGTTGCAAGATGTACCAACAGGGCGCAGCACTATTAATTGTCTAAATTTACGCGTATGACAACAGTTGCTAATTTCAACCAAGCAGCTGTGATACAAAATTAGAACTGTCAAAGTAGGATTGTTTACAGTTATGTTTATGTTTTTAATTTAATAAATAGTTGTTGATATTGTGTGAATAAGGAGTTTTAGATTAACATAACCAATCAATAGTTTTATTTATACTTCTTATAAAGTCAAACGGGTTGAAGCCTGTATATGTGTATGGGAAGAAAGAATTTCGTTCTTGCCAATAATGGTTTTGGGCTTGTCCACTGTCCAGTGTTTCAGAATCGAACATTTATCCTTATCCTCGAAAAGGTTTACCTATGTACACCAAGTAATTGCTCACATGACTCGGCTGGAGCGCAGTTCAGGACACATTAACAAGCTATAAATTCATTGCATGGTAGGCTACTGTATTAGTTTGAACACATTGCTGACAGTGACATGAGATGTTTGTAGGTCATCCAAGGTGCTCCACTGCTGCAGATGTAGACAATACAGCATAACGAGGCTCGGCTGACGTGGATTTCACTTCCCATGGAAATGTTCGCCCAGAACACGCATGTCACCGACCAATCGCAGCCTCCAAGATGGCTGACGAGTTTGCATCACAATGCTTGATTTATGCTTCGGATGTCATTGTTTTGTCCATTCTACATAAGTCATTTCATGGGAACCGAGTCAGTCGCTTCTTCCTGCCTTCAAATTAGTCCTCTTTTGCTGCCAACTCCCCAATTACGTACATGTCTCCTCCGCCACCCAACTTTGGTTCTCACAGATTCTTTCAGCCTCTTCTTTCTTTCCAGAATTTTTGTTTTTGAGAGTCGGTTCCGGGTTTACCGTTTAGGATTGACACCCACAATGCAGATGGGAACGGTGTCTCTTCTTTTAGAATATGATCCTGCTTTTCTTCTGAGGAGTGTGGGAGTTAACTCTTATTATAACCACATTCAAATGTTTAATACACCCGTTACTTTTATAGTTTTCATCAATTTTGTGATGCGTCGAACACAGAAATATCTTAAGTTTCATGGCATGAATGTACAATATATACATCATCATTGGAAAAAATACAATTCAGATTCCAGAATGCAATTTTAACTTTTAAATTAGATATGCGTAGACCACGTTCTCATCAATAAATGTTTATGACAACTAATTCCATTTGTGTATAACTAAAAAGTCTAATACTGTACTTGTGATAACTAAGCCAGATTGTCACAGTTGGCAAGCGTGGCCGTGGGTCACGGGTAAGTCGTGTTTCCCGAATTTGAATAACTGCGAATGTTAAGACTATAATTACCGGTTGGGAGATAGCGAGTTGCGCGAGTAACTTGATGATTGGTCTGTATTTAACCCATTAGGCCGTCGTTTGTATGTAAATATAACTCCCACTGTATCTATAAATCAAACGATTAGTGGGAACAGAGCGGTGCCGGTAGCGGCTGGCCGGCAATTTGTGCTATTGTTCTTATATATCCGTAGGCCTCGTCATATGGCGAGGATATTGGGTCTAACATTTTACCTACAGCGTTTATCGCTTATGTATTTTTTGTTTCCTTAAAGTTTGTTGATTAGTTTAAAGTTATTTTGTTATAAAGTGTAACGTATTTGTGTAGTGTCAACACATTAACATGTTATGTACACAACATGTTGTGCAGCAAGGAGACGTTCTGGACCATGGCCTTGTTACTATATATCATCAACATTTTTAGATAGCATATCAGTCGATGATAAAATGGCCAAATTAATGAGGTACTCGGTTCTATAAGTGATAGCACTCGGCATCAAACACATTTGTGTGACAAGAAGAACCGAATGTGAAGTATTTATATAGATATGGTTTACTTTTTACTGTGAAATGTATTTATAAGTAATGTTATTTATTTATCATCTAGTATTTTGCAAAAAGGAAATGGTGTACATTTCATAAAACATTTAAATCAGAATATAGTGCCACTTTATCACACTTATTCATAATACCAGAATACAAGTAGAGCAAAATGGGCTTTAAAAATACCCTTTTCAACGTAAAAAACACGATGAATCTTTATGAATACTATCACTAGTTCAAAGAATCAAAACAAGTTAGGCCTAAATGTGTTAAACGAAACGAGACATATTAAAACTATCCTGTAACGTTTGTCGATTCGAATCCTATCACATTAAAAAAAAAGAGTGAGACCAAATCGTCACTTTCGCAACTCGAATAGGTAAAAACACTTCTAATCACCGCGATTATCCGTTTCTTTGAAACCAATCACCAGAACCGACCTCATTCACGAGAACTGCTGGTTAAACCATCGATGTAATTTTTGCGATCGAAATAACACTAATAACCGGTCAAAAGGAGGCCCACAAATCTGAATGCTGAGCACAGGTTAAGTAACCATTTATTAGTGGTGGTTTGGCAACCCTCAACACGCACGCTTCCAGCACGCGACTCAGCGATCATAAGTGGCCTGTGGCGATTGGTGACGTAACTGCTACTGGGCACCAGAAGAATAAGCCTTCACAGGCCAGGGCCTCGTTGATATGGTCCGATGTTAGCATCCCTATAACACGTAAACTTAAGATATTCCATGGACTTTAAAAATTCAACTACTTAAATAACAAGAAGTAGCAGGGTGCCGGCTGCAGTAATGCTGTGGATTAGTTTTGAAAGTAGAAATGGTAAAACAAGGGACAAATCTTGGAGGTAAAAATGGTAATCAAAATATTGGAGAAAGGTTAAGATAAATTTAAATCACTCTTTAATCTAACATTTTACTGTGCCTTTTGTCTACAGGTTTACGAACTCAGTCCCAGTTTAGAACAAGAAAATAAAATGCTTGAAAAATAATTGGAAGTGAGAGAAGGACGAAGAAAGAGCAAATTGTGAGGGATACAAAAGAAATTTGGTGAAAAGTCAGCGGTCCTAGTTGAAAGTAAAACCTCCTTGAAAAGCTACACATGTATTCATCCAGTAAAATACAAGTTGAAAGACAGTTCATCTATTCTATAGAAAAATCTATAGAAAAATTACACTGGCGATTTTAAATTGCTCAAATGAAAATCGATATAACAAGTCGATGCATTGTTAAACAATTGTTGGCATTTTATAATGATGATTTTATTGAAAAGTTTTGAACCACGTGAATATATAGTAAAGAACGAATAACTGAAATATACTTGCCATCTACGAATACTAATCCATACAACTTTAAATGTTCCTGCCTAAAAAAACTACCTCTTTTATAGATGGTAATGTTTGGGTAGCCTAGTGGTGATAGTACTAGCATTCAAAGCTTAAGGATGCTGGTTAGATTGCAAGTATAATCGTTTCCAGACCCAGATGGCATTTGTCGTTAGGATACGAATTAATAATGACGTTAGATAGTTACAAGATCAGGGTTTGGACCGTTCCCTTTCAGTACGTAAAAATTATGGCATTGGCATTAAAAATACTAATAAATAAATCAAGAAAAAAATCCACATTATTAAACCGTCGATAAGCGAATTTCCATTCGCCAGATTAAGTTTTTTACTTATACAATTTGAATAACATTAGGTTGTACATTTAATACCAGAATACTTTACAAAATAAAATTACAACCTGAAATATCGAAAATACTTCCTCCTAATCGTTGACCAGCCTGGGCCGGATGGATAGTGTCAAAATCATTAAAAATTACTATTTACAATTTTACAACCAAACGAGGGTAGGTATTTTAAGCCAAATATGAATGGAGATGAGTGTAGAATGAGTGGCACGATCTTATACTGAGGCCGATATGTTCCTACAACCAAGGAACCTACAGTTTATAGTGGTTTAATGAGTACCTAGGTTTTCTGCTACAGAGAGGGTAAGAAAGTGTGTTTTTAGTAGAATATTAACTGCTTATTATAAATATAAAAAAAAAACTTGCTAAGTTTGATGAAAATATATCCTTTAACAAGCAAACTACAACGGTTTAGTTAGTATTCTCTTAAAGAATAATATGGGAATCATAAATTTACAATTTCTAAAATGTTTTGCAGCCATTACCCGTATAAAAATAATTCAATAATACATTTATTTTATTATTATTTATTTACTATTTAAATTTATTTTAAGCTCTTTTAAATAGTTTAGAAAATTGGGAAATTTTATTTTTTTGAGGGTAACAAATGAGAGAAAACCCAACTTAAAAAAACCCGTTCACATGGTCCGATCAAGCTGCTTGGCTAACTTATTACAATAAACAGAAATTATACTATCGTGGTAGGTTAACACGTTTGTGCCAAATTTCAGCGAAACTTATTTCGTGCTAAAGTGCCGGGACATATATATGCATTTTAACGGATGGTGATTTTGGCCTCTGGGTATACCATAACGAAAAGGTAAATTGGTCCTGGTCTAGGTATTACCATGATGCATACGGTAATAGCTTATTCCCTAAAAATATAATATGGAACTACAGCAACTTAACAAGCAGCAACAATGACCATTTGTGAATAACCAAAGTGTTGGAATACAAATAAAACTAACTTATGTGTGAAATATAAATCCAACATCTGAAGCATTGTCATTATCTCAATTATCTGTGTCAAAACACTTGAAATGTTTTACAAGTTCACGACCAGCAAACCCACTTTGAGCAAATTTCTTTAAATGATGCCAATGATTAACTAGACAAACTTAATTGGACGATGACAAATCCGCATCACATGCCGAGAAGCAGGTAAAAATGACCTTACATGCAGAAATCTCCGGTAATTGCAAGGAATTGCTGATCGGTGAAACCTCCTGGGAATCAAGCAAGAATTTGTGACATGCAAGTCTGCAGATGTGGAGAATCCTGCAAAAAGTGAGCATAGTCTTGCAAATATCACAGATCTACATCAGCTTAGTTTGTCAACAAGAGGGGACAATCCAGGAGCAGAATGATCGGTTTCATTTGTCGGGATTTCAAATGAAGCCGTGTGGGGGCTGCAGTGATGCGGCTACCGAACTATGTGAATCCATTATGGTAGACCACATAAGTGATGAGTGCCATTCCATTGACTGATGTTGCAGCGGCAAACTTCTGTGGAGCCTGTAACTGATCAGTCTCAGGATCCTAAGTGACCAATTAATGTGCCAATTTGTGTCACTAGTTGTGTTCTTTATTTAATTAATCTGGGTTGCGTTTCCTTTCGTGGGGAACGGGAAGTTTTTGACATAATTTTGATGGGTATCGCTAATCAGCAATGGGTAGGAGTAGTGTTTAATTGGGAAAGATGAAAATGCGGCTCATGAAATCCGAAATAAAACTAGTACAGGTGTTCGAATACTAAAATAGCATTGCCAATCTTCATCTATATATACTATATATTAGAGGTATACCCAAGAAAATATGGGGAAGGAGACTCCTTCGAGTCTCTGTATGACATATGTATTTCAACCTAACATATTTCTACAAGATTTGGATAGCACCTGCAAGGAAGTAGTTCCCACCTCCTAGTGGCTAGTGTAGCTCAAACGTTTAGTATTCTGCTATGATCGGAACTGTTCAAGATAAAATCAGAACATCGTTCT